CGTAGATAAAGTAGTAGAGCTATAGACTATAAAAACAATCAAATTTCTATGTCAGTTGTTAATGATACTTTTATTTTTAAAGAGGCCTTTCCATCTGTAATTACAAGGCTATTTGTCAGGCAGTCTCTTTTTCTCTCGTGTGTATGAACAATTATAAAAATGCTCAAGCTACGAGAGGGTAACAAAAATTGACAAGAGTTTAAAAAAACTAAGACACTGAGAAACATTGGGCTTTATTAACTTAAAAAAATTAAGGAAGCATGCAATTTGAACATGCATAATCGATAAAGGTTGCCTGACAAATAGACTTACAAAATGTGCTGTTTTATGTGCACAGCAACCAGACAGATAACCAGTATTTTAAGCAATATTATTATCATCATTCAATTAATTAAAATTCCTACCTGAAGTGTTTTCCCTAGTCCCATTTCATCCCCTAAGATACAGCCATGCTGCCCTCTCTCATGACACTCTGATAACCACTTTAGACCTTCCAGTTGGTGAGAGCGGAGAGCAACATTCTTCAGACCCAGTTCCTGACAGTATTCCTGTGATATAGAGTAGTGATGAGTTGTAGTTTTGGTTTTGGTGAGCGTATTAAGCTGTCTCAAAATGTAGTCCATTTTTAATTGGCATAATTGCAGAAAATGGGTGGGGCTGGAGTGAGGCAAGGATGTGTATGGAGACCTGGTTGCTCAGGCTAATAACAAGAATATTGCGGGAAGAGATTGGTGATGACATGTAAGGTTACATAATTATAATAATCTCCTGCATGCATGTCATAGCCTAGATTTTTAAAAATAATTTCAATTAGCTATTCCTAAAATGTTTTAGCACCGGTATCACTGTAACATTATCTGAAGATTGAAAATTGATATCGAGGCGGGATTTATCTTGTGACATGCATGCAGTAAACTGATACAGGTCATTTAAAATCCACCCTCTTGTGAGACAAAATTTGAAGCAAAAAAGCACCAGATTAGCTGTGAGCCTCTTGATTTTAAGACAGACATTAGTACTGGATTGGACAAAGCTTTAGTGGTATAGGAATCTAGGACTTACACTATGTCACGTCGTAAGTTACTTTCTATTGAGCATGCTAGCTATTTGTGCATGTGCATGCACTACAAAACAAAGTTTTCTAAATAAATTTCTTTTATCATACAGAACTAGCTGCTAGACATCAATTGTCCGCCAGGCATTCACATTCATCAGCAGTTGTTGGAAACTCCTTATATATATGGGCTGGCAAAGAAGATACATCTAATGATGCCAGAAGTTTAAAACACTTCTCTATTCTTTCTGGTGAATGGTCCACAAAAGAAACGACTGGAGACCCTCCATTAGCAGATTCTGGTTACAGTTGCTCTGTAGTAGCTGACAGAATATACTACTTCGGTGGGCTGAGCACTGAAGATTATTCCTATCACAATAGCTTGTCAGAATTAGATACAAGTAATCTCAGTTGGAATTCCTTAGAATCGACAAATAAAGATAGAGCTGTTATGAGCAGAGCTTATGGTGGAATGATATCATTTGAAAATGAAGGGATACATCATCTGCTGATGATAGGAGGGAGAGGGTCGAATCCTGTTGTACCGGTACAAAATGCCAATTATGCTAATATTGGAAGAAATAAATGGCGCACTAATGAGCACTCAATGTATAATTTATCCACAAGTGAGTAATAATTTATTCATTACCATTGCACTGAATATAACTATAGGAAGTTGGAGCATACCTGATGTTATTGGGCAGTTTATGCCACCTGCAAGTTTCTTTGTTATGAAGAAAATAGGCAACAATATGGCAGTTGTTTTTGGTGGAGCCACAGGCGAGAATGATGACATAGTTTGCAGCAACATTCTTTATGTAATATACACAACAGTCAATGCTGTGGTAGGTGCAATAAAACTGAATACACTTTATATTTAGTTTCTATAAATTTTATGATATTTCTCCTATATATAGCTTTGGCAGAGAATAGGACCTGAAGCAATAGACTGTTGGCCTGATGGAAGGTGGGGTCATGCAGCCACTATCATCTCTATTCATGATAATCCTATGCTTGTAATAACTGGAGGAAGGGATAACAAAAATTGCATAAAAGACGAATTGTGGGTATTCAATTTCAAGCACACATCATGGAAGAAGGTAGTAAGTCCAATGCATGCAATAATTTGCTTTTTGTCGTAAAATATTTAAATCTGATTATTTCTTCTGATTATTTCTTAAAGATGGCTGTGCCTTTGACAGTGAGCCAGAGATGGTGTCATTCTCTTTCTTCATTTACTTCAACCCCTGGTGTTGTGGTGCTCTTAACAATTGGTGGCTTAGTGAATATTACAAAAGAACTGCAGAGCTTTCTGAAAATCACTATGTCAACTGAGTTACTAGGTTAGTTGTCATTGATTCATTATTAGTGAAACAATTAAAATCGCAATACTATTGATTTTTTTATAGTTAATGATATACAATGGAGAGTAGGGGATACTCTAGATTTGATTGACATGATTAGTGGCCATTACAAATGCAAATACCAGCTAGAGAATAATACCGTATCATCAAGCCTTGAAGTTTCTTGTGAAATTCTGAAACTTTTACAAAACAGGAGAGGCAGAAACATTGACCCACAACTACAGCATTATATTGAAAGGATTAATGCTGATTTGCAGACCTCCATTCAAGCATGCAGAAATCAAGCAGAAAGAAATGTAACCATAGAGGAGGAGTTGAAAAATTTAGAAGAGGAGCTGGTAAATGTACGGGAGGCACATGAAGAGCAGTTAGAAGAGCAGGAAGAGCAGTTACAAGAAGAGAAAGAAAGTATAACACAGAAAGCAAAAAATAAATTCCAAGAAATGAGTTTGGTAATAGAGGAAAAGGATATAGCTTTACAAGAAGCCCAAAGTTCACTAAACGAGAAGCGAAAAGAGCTTTATGAAGTCAAAAGAGAGCTAACTGATGTTAAGACAAATCTCAGTAAAAAAGATATGATGCTTCAGCAGTGCCAGCATGACTTAAATAATTCTAAGCAAGAGAATGTTGGGCAAGAAAGAGCACTAAAAAATATTGAAAGGCACAAGGCACAACTACAAGAAATGCTAAGTCAATCTCAAGATGAAAAAGCACAGAAGCTACGAGAGTTTCAGCTTGAAAAGGCAACGCTGCAACAACGGTTACGTGAATCTCAAGAAGAAGCTCGTAAATATCAAAATGAATGCAACCTTTTATGTGATGCTTGGCAAGTAGATGAAAAGGAAGTTGTGATTACAGATGAAGAGTTAGGTCGAGGGTCATATGGTGTTGTCATGGTTGGAATATTTCGAGGGTTAAAAGTAGCAGTTAAGTACCTTCACCCGGTGATAGCCTCATACTACAATGAAGAGCGTTTCATAAGAGAAATGAAAATGGCATCACTACTGCGCCATCCTAATCTAGTCCAGTTTATTGGTGCAACGTTAGGAGACAATCCTCTCATTTTGACAGAGCGCATGACCACTAGCCTATATCATGAAAAGAAAAATGTTCAACTTGCAAGACCATCTATTCTCAGCATTGCTATACAGGTAGCTTTAGGCCTCAATTATCTTCACTTGCAGAAACCCAATGCTCTTATTCATAGAGATGTTAGCAGTCCTAATATACTCCTTGACAACATAGGGCCAGCTAGATACAGAGCCAAAGTTTCTGATTATGGCTCATTTGCTATGGCTGTAGATTCTCAGACGGAACGTCCAGGAAGCATAGCATATTCTGCACCAGAGGCTTTTAATCCTAATGAGCATACACCAGCAATGGATGTCTATAGCTTTTGCGTGCTACTAATAGAAATGATTATAAACAAGGCACCTGAAACAACTGTAAAAGAGAGGAGAGAGCAAGCCTCAAAAATTGCAGGATGGACAGTAATGAAGAACCTAGTGCAAAGAGGCATCAATGAGAAAAAAGAAGTACGCCCAAAAATGGCTGAAATGATCAAAGAATTAAAGCAAATGGAAAGTCAGCGACTACGATAACTATACTCTTTTTACAGCACATATTGCACATTTGCTTCACACATACAGCACCTTATGTATAATTAGTTCATGACATTGTATCACAATTATTACAATTTAATGTTTTAATTGTAATTTAACTGTACAAAACTTATGTCAATAAAGAGGGATGCTAAAATTAAAATTAAAATAGAAATTGACAAAAAATAACATTTTGTATACAGTGAAATAGCTAGCAGAGGGTGAAATAAAGAGATAGAGGCCTTCCTATACTTTAAATAAAAGAATCATTTTAAATTTGAACTGGCGATGTGATAAGAAATGAATGATTTGATTTCTATCCGGGCCATAATTGTATATCAAAGTGTACTTCCAGATCTGTGAGAGCTGTTGAGAAATAGTGTTGAAAAATGGATTTATTAGTTCAGCATTTAATGATATAGGCACACTCAACTGCTGGAGACTGTTGCTGTTGCAATACCAGAATGAATTACCGGTATTGTACTGCTCATTATTAAATTGAAGGTATTTTAGAGTTTGATTTGAGAGAGCATATCCTGTAGACTACTGCCCATACTGCTCAGTGTACACTGACACTTCTGTTATCTTTAGTTTAAGAGCTTCAAATGTAGTGCTGGTTTTATAGCAATACTGAGCAAGCTTAGCTGTGACATAGTGGTAAAGTAAGTGTATGCATAGCCTCAGACGTGGCCTGACTAAAAAGAACAATCTCTGTGTTGGAGGACATCTTCAATATGTATTATATTCAAGTTGACTTTACAGTGCACTGATCAACAGATAGCAAAGAGGGGAGAAAAGTACAGAAGGAGCACTGAAGCTAGGACTGCATGACTATATAAGCCAGCCTGTAAAGAAAAAAGAAAAATTAAAAAGCAAAAGAAAAATAAAACTTATGTGCCAAACAGGGACACAAAACACTTTACATGTAAAATTAAAATTAAGTTTTATAGCTTTATGTGACACAGGAGAAGCAGTCATTGGTTTAAATATCCATAAGGTATGACAAGATGAGCCTCTATATACAAGTCTTAATACCAGTTCTAACCTTGAGTCCAGGATGGCTATCAACTTCATAATATGACACTTCCTTTCCTTAAGCCCAACATACGCTATGCAACATTTGTTGCAAACAACTTGCTGCATGCATGCAAAATGCACAGCCCATTTCAGAGTGGAATAGGTGGGGCTGGAGCCTGAGGCCGGATATCGATCCAATCGATGAGATCTCGCCATGTGAGACCCTTCTCTTCTTGCTCTTTCATCTTCTTGCTCTTTCAGGAATTGAATTGTAAGTCCACTCTTACCTGTAGGCAATCTATAATTAAGGGTATAACAAGTAATACAGTGATTGGGCTGAAAAAATGGGTGATGACACTGATGCGTGCATGGTTCATTCTAGCCTGCATTCACCATAGATTGACTTTTATTTTAAGGGCGGGTACACATAGTGCCTCTTCAGATATTTTTGTAGTCTGGACACGCCAGACTAATGCCTTTAGTAATCTCTAGACCAGTTTACAATCCACATTGAAATGACAGGAGGCTGGGGAATGGTATGTCTTGTGAGACCGTTTGTTTCTCTGTGATGTTATAACATTATCTAAAGATTTGATGTTATTTAGCTGAGTTTCATCATGTAACATGCATGCCTTGAACCATAGGTATTAGAAACTATGTATACAGGATTGGAAACACAAACAGGCATAAACTCAGTGTCATATTAATATAATAGTTATTAAAATAATTAACTACACTACTGTAAGTGCTGCACAATTAAAAATAAAAATAATTATAATTAAAAGCAAGAGTACATAATATTATGTACTCTTTTTAAAAAGTAGAAACAAATAATTGATTCAATATTATTTCTAAACATAAATAAAATCTTTATTTAAATAAATCCTTCCTTTCAAGCAGGAGAGGGAAACAACCAAGGAGCCTCATGACCTTAAGACTGACAGACTAAATCGGACAAAAGGATAATTCATCATATAGAAAGCTAGGACTGTGGTACTACCGATGTCACTTCGTAAGTTTGATACATGCACACTGCAAAATAAAGTTGAATTAATTTTTTAACAATTTCCTTTCATATACAGAACTAACTGCCAGACATCAATTGTCCGCCAGGCATTCACATTCATCAGCAGTTGTTGGAAACTCCTTATATATATGGGCTGGCAAAGAAGATACATCTAATGATGCCAGAAGTTTAAAACACTTCTCTATTCTTTCTGGTGAATGGTCCATAAAAGAAACAACTGGAGACCCTCCATTAGCAGATTCTGGTTACAGTTGCTCCATAGTAGCTGACAGAATATACTATTTTGGTGGTCTAAGCACTAAAGATTATTCCTATCACAATAGCTTATCAGAGTTAGATACAAGTAATCTTTGTTGGAAATCATTGGAATCAACAGATCCAGATAGAGCTGTTATGAGCAGAGCTTATGGTGGAATGTTGTCATTTGAAAATGAAGGGATACATCATCTGCTGATGATAGGAGGGAGAGGGTTGAATCCTGTCGTACCGGTAGAAAATGCCAATTATGCTAATATTGGAAAAAATAAATGGCGTACTAATGAGCACTCAATGTATAATTTATCCACAAGTGAGCAATAATTTATTTATTACCATTACACTGAATATAACTGCAGGAAATTGGAGCATACCTGATGTTATTGGGCAGTTTATGCCACCTGCAAGTTTCTTTGTTTTGAAAAAAATAGACAACAGTAGAGCTGTAGTTTTTGGTGGAGCCACAGAAGAGAATGATGACATAGTTTGCAGCAATGTTCTTTATGTAATAAACACAACAGTCAATGCTGTGGTATGTTACGTAATAAAATAGAAGTAAATAAATTTTAAATTTAGTTTTCATCAATGTAGCAATTATGCTTTTTCTCCTGTGTCGATAGGTCTGGCAGAGAATGGAGAAACCTGAAACAATAGACTGTTGGCCTGATGGAAGGTGGGGTCATGCAGCCACTATCATTACTAATTGTGATAATCCTTTACTTGTAATAACTGGAGGAAGAGATAACAAAAATTGCATAAATGATGAACTGTGGATATTTAATTTTAAGCACACATCATGGAAGAAGGTACTAAGCCCAATGCATGCAATCTGCATGCAATAATTTGCTTTTTGTTGTAAAATAATCTGATAATTTCTTCTGATTATTTCTTAATAGATGGCTGTGCCTTTGACAGTAAGCCAGAGATGGTGTCATTCTCTTTCTTCATTTACTTTAACACCTGGTGTTGTGGTCCTCCTAACGATTGGTGGCTTAGTGAATATTATAAAAGAACTGCAGAGCTTTCCAAAAATCACTATGTCCACTGAACTATTAGGTTAGTTGTCATTGATTTACTTTAGCTAGCTGAACTAGAATCACAATGAAAATGATTGTTTTTAATAGTTATTGATAGACAGTGGAGAGTAGGTGATACTCTAGATACAATTGGCATGATTAGTGGGCGTTATAAATGCAAGTATGAGTTACCACAACTTCAGCGTTATATTGAGAGGATCAATGCTAATATGCAGACCTCCATTCAAGCATGCAGAGAGCAAGCTGAAAGAAATATAACCATAGAGGATGAGTTGAAAAAATTACAAAAGGAGCTGGAAAATGTACGAGAGGCACATGTAAAGCAGTTAGAAGAACAGGAAGAACATTTAGAAAAAGTTTGGGAAGAGAAAGAGCGAATAACGGAGAAAGCAAAAAATAAATTCCAAGAAATGAGTTCAGTAATAAAGGAAAAAGATATAGCCTTAAAAGAGTCCCAAACAGAAAATGAGCAAATAGTTCAAAATATGCAATCACAAATATCTCATCTTCAAAGTTCACTAAGCGAAAATAAAAAAGAGCTTTACGATATCAAAAGAGAACTATTTGATGTTAAGAGAAATCTCAGTGAAAAAGATATGATGCTTCAACAATGCCAGCAGGACTCAGATAGGTCTAAAGAAGAAAAAGATTTCATTCAAAAAGAAAGGGAGAGAAATGTCAAGGATGCCCAACAACAGTTAAAAGAGACAGATGCTCTTCAACAACAGTTACGTGACTCTCAGAGTGCAGTTGTAGTACTTAAAAAATCTAATGATGAGCAACAAAAAGCACTCAAAAATATTGAAAGGCACAAGGAACAGCTACAGCAACTGCTACTACAATCTCAAGATGAAAAAGCGCAGAAGTCACGTGAGTTTCAGCTTGAAAAGGCAGCGCTGCAACAACGGTTACGTGAATCTCAAGAAGAAATTCGTAGATGTCAAAATGAATGTAGTGTTTTATGTGGTGCTTGGCAAATAGATGAAAAAGAAGTTAAACTTACAGATAAAGAATTGGGTAGAGGTGCTTATGGTGTTGTCATGGTTGGAGTATTTCATGGGTTAAAAGTAGCTGTCAAGTATCTTCACCCAGCAATAGCCTCATACTACAACCAAGAGCGTTTTATAAGAGAAATGAAAATGGCATCACTACTGCGCCATCCTAATCTAGTCCAGTTTATTGGTGCAACGTTCGGAGACAGACCTCTCATTTTGACAGAGTGCATGACCACTAGCCTATATCATGAAAATAAAAAAGGACAACTTGCAAGACCATCAATTCTCAGCATTGCTATACAGGTGGCTTTAGGCCTCAATTATCTTCATTTGCAGAAACCCAATGCTCTTATTCATAGAGATGTTAGCAGTCCTAATATACTGCTTGACAACATGGGAGCTGCAAAATACAGAGCCAAAGTTTCTGATTATGGTTCATTTGCTAGGGCAGTGGATTCTCAGACAAAACAGCCAGGAAACACAGCATATTCTGCACCAGAAGCCTTTAATCCTAATGAGCATACACCAGCAATGGATGTTTATAGCTTTTCCGTACTACTAATGGAGATGATTATAAACAAGGCACCTGACATGACTGTAAACGAGAGGAGAGATCAAGCCTCAAAAATTGCAGGATGGACAGTAATGAAGAACCTAGTGCAGAGAGGCATCAATGAAAAAAA